CGTTAATTTCTGAAACTGAAAGTACCATTTTCACGTACGTTCTGTTCACACGAAAACGTATGACAACGACGTCAGGAAGTAAAAACGTTTCAAATAGTGAAAACGATGCCAAAGATTCGTTCTCTATGTCTGAAACTTTTGGTCGTTTTGACACTTTGTTATTGTGTAAACAGAAAAGTAGAAGGCGAAAATGAAATTCCGGGTTTGAATTTGGAAACGAAGACTATAAAAAACTAGTGCTTTGTCAGAAAATGTTGCGAGAAAAACGATCAATGTGAACAAGGCGCCTAAACGCTAAATTTGAAAACGGCACTGCAAAAACGCTCAAAGACGTGACCCGTGTGCACATAGTTTCAGTCTCGATTTAGGACTTATGAAAACACAGTATAAATTTATGGTAAATTTAAATTTTTTTCAGCTTTATATGTTTAATATAAATAAATTAAAATAATACTCCTATCTGAAAACAAACGCACGAAAATAAAATAGTGCTAATCATTGAGCTGTGGTTGCAGTTATTGCAATTGTGTTTTTCGATTTCGTGACCATATATTTGTTTGTTCTTAGAATGTCGTATTTTATATATAAAGCAACTCGATTCCTTTTTAGCAACAACCCACGAACAGGCATCCATATTTCAAAACAAGAGCCATATTGGTGTCCCTCAGTTACTAGCACACCAATATGATTCTCATTACCTATACAAACTTTTCTTCTCATTACCTATACAAACGTTTGAAAAACTCGGCAAATTCAACTGGCGTCACTCGGCAATTTGACCTTCGACACCCCCCCAATCCATATCCCTTCGCAACGGCCCTGATTTTCATAGTAAATTGTATAAAGCAAACAAGGTCTTAAAAACGTTAGTTGTTTTTTCAGGAAAAATCGCAAATCATAGATCATGAGATACGGCTTTTGTAACCCGAAGCGAACGTCAACAACGCAGCTGAGAGCCTGAGAGAATAAACACTTCTCACGCGTCACACGCTTACTTTGCCTTTGGAATATTCGTCTGAGAAAGGCATTCATCTACAACTATCACAAAATGATACAATGCACTTGTTATTTTCAAACAGCTTGTTTCGGCAGGAAAAATCGCAAAGCACAACCAGTGTTGGAATCGAAAATCCTGGCGGGCATTAAGACTATCATCACAGTTCGTTTAGTTTGATATAAGCGATGTTTTGTTTGTCTTCACACTGAATCTTAGCCAGTTGACTGTAAATTATGCTGAAGTTTGAATTATGTCAAAAGCAGCCAAATACCTTTTGCAAAAAAGGTCTTGGAAGTTGGAAGTTGGAATCGTTTTATGAAAAAACGATAGGATGTCAGGATAGTTTTGTTTAAGATTCAAATTTCATGTAGTTTCAGATTCAGTTTCAGATTCGAGCTGAAACAGCTAGTGTTAGTCTGCGTAAATCCTTCAACCACAGCAACTGTATTGTCTGTATAAACCTGCAGATATACTGCAAAGAAAGACATTCATCTACATTAGTCATTAGGCCTACTGTGCGCTTCATTCTGTGTGGTTTTTATTGCGATTCAGCAAACCATGTCCGCAGGAAAAATCGCAAAAGATTGTTATTTTAGACTGCTCTTGTACATGCAGGCATGGCTTGTCAAATTTGTTGAAATATGGAGTCTCTAGATCGTTGGAAATGGCATTTTCAGAGCCTTCTGTTCCTTATACACACAAGGTTTGGTAGCTTTTATTTATATCAAACAAAACCATATTCGATATTGTTGAAGTTGTGTTATTTTCGAAATCCGTGAGAATCCGTGTGTTTTAATACTGAAGAATTACGTACATTTTGCATAACTTTATTGGAGAACAAGGCACAACATTAATTAATTTATTTTTTATTATTAAAAGGTACAAAAGGTACAAAACTTGGACCCCTCTTCTTCCTTGTGATGATAAATGACTTGCAAACCAACACTCCAATGTACAAATATGTCGATGACTGCTCCACATACGAAATCGTTTCAAGATCGTCCCCTACTTCATCGCTTCAAGCTAATATAAACCCTATAAATGACTGGACCAATCACAACAACATGCGGCTTAATGTATCTAAAACCAAAGAACTGCGTATATCCTTTCTTAGAGTCCCTATGGTATTCGATGCCCTCTCTTCATCTGGTTTAAACATAGAAATCGTCCAGACCTTCAAACTTCTGGGAGTGATAATATCATCGGATCTTACCTGGAATGCGCACATTGATTACATCTGCACCAAAGCAAGTAAACGTCTTTATGCTCTAAGGATCCTCAAACGATCTGGTGCCCCAGCCAATGATTTAATAACGGTCTTTTGTGCATTTATTCGTCCAGTTTTGGAATACGCCTCACCTGTATGGCATTTTTCTCTCCCTCAATTCCTCGCTGATCAAATCGAGAGTATACAAAAACGTGCATTGAAAATCGCTTTCCCCCAGTCCTCCTATACTACCTCACTAAGAAACACTGGCCTTCTTACACTTTACCAGCGAAGAGAGAATCAGTGCTTGTCATTCTATAAGAATATCCATCAACATTCAGACGATAAGTTGAGAACGCTACTTCCCAGTGCTATATCTCACAAATTCAGTCTAAGAAATAAACGCACTTATCCTATGTATAAGTGCAAAACTGAACGATATAAGAACAGTTTTATCCCAAAGTGTGTTAGAAACTGGGACTGACCATAGACATAACAAAATATTTTATAGTACATATCATTAATATAGTTTATATTATAGTAGTTTTAAATTGAACTTTTTGCAAATTTAAAAATTTTAATACTATCTATGTAATATCACGTTTTTTAAATTTTTATTAATTTACAATGTGGTAATTATTAAAATCAATCAATCAATCAATCAATCAATCAATAACTCATAGTGGGGCCCCCTGTGGCCGAGGCGAAAGTAAATCATGCAGTCGGGAAAACGTCTAACTTTGAAAGATTATTTTGCAAAACATACTCGTACACGATCGTGACTAAAAGACCTAAAACACCACACGAGTACATACGAGTAACACACAAGTACATACGAGTACATACGAGTAACATACGAGTACATACGAGTAACACACGAGTACATGGGAGTAACATACGAGTAAAACACAAGTACATACGAGTAAAACACAAGTACATACGAGTAGAATACGAGTAAAATACGAGTAGTAAACTTGTTTTTAGTGTTTGTAGATTGAATACAGGCAAAAAGATCGTCTTCTCTGTCGAAAAACGTGAAATAGACTGAAACCGGCTATCTTCAAAACCCGGAACGGGGAATGGAGGAACGGGAAATGGGAGAACGGGGAATGGGGCCGACGGGGAATGGGAGAACGGGGAAATGGGGGAGCGGGGAATGGGGGAACGAGGAAGGGGGGTGACAGGGGAATCGGGGAATTATGAATTATTGTTAATACGTAATATTAATCATATGTACGGGGGAAAAAGAACAGAAAAAGGAAACAGAAATTCGACAGGATAAACGGGAATCGGGGAATTACGAAACTATAAAACGGATTCTGGTGTCTTGGGAATTAGAAAACCGCTCCATGAATTAAAAAGTAAAGAAATTTAGCGAAGTTTTCCTTTATTAGTAGAGCATAAAAAAGTCAATCCACATTGCTTATGTCAGATCATTAAGTAATATTAATAATAATAACATTGCTTATGTCATTACTAATATACTTGCTATATCATAAAACAAACTTATGGACTAGATGCAAGCCCAAGGCAGTCCTTATGCTCCATACGATATCTTAAAGTGATTATCCTATTTTAAATATCTTACAAAGCAAAACTAACAAAACACAAAATTCTTCAAAATACGCAGATTTTAAGTTAGCAATTTAAGTTGGCAAGTACGTTTCTAAAGAGGGTCCTGAAGGGGTAAAATGGGAACTGGGATTGATCTAATTTTAGACTGGGAAAATGGGATTTGGCCACTGGGAATGGGAAATAAGTCCTCAAAAATGGGAATGGGATTGAGGTAATGCGAGTCGATTCCCAATTTTTCTACATTTTAAGTGTTTTAAAATATAATTTTGATCCGTTTTCGGTGTCTTTGGTCATGACTTTTGTTGTTAACTATATTATTCACAGCACTAGCTGCGAACAGGCATACTCTGGCGCCCGGAATTCTGGGTTTTCTGATTATGTGTGTGTCAGAATGCTGCAAATGCCACTCTGAATTATAAAGGATTTGTAGGGATAGTAAAGGATATTTAATGGTGTGCGACGGGTGAGATCGATGGCTTACAAAATGTAATCAAGACCCTCATCAAGACGAACAACTTTTGTTAATATCTTCTTACCAAAATCTGCAAGCGTAAGGTGTTAGGTTCTGCGCATGCACAGACCTATCTCCTTAAATACGCATAGCTTCCGTCTTCCCATCATACCTTGCGTAATTTGTTCCCCCCCCCCCTTAATATTACGCAATTTTACTAAAAATTCGTAAGGCTCTGCGGAGGAGAGTGTGCAAATGCCATTTCCGGGATTCAAATTTAAAAATTTTTGTGCCTTCGGCACGAGCCCCCTCAGTGTTTCATAAAAGGTCCACCACTTGCACACACGGTGGCTTAAAAGGTCTTAAAACTGTTTATTCTACCGATAAATAAAGGGTTTTTTATTGACTGGGATTTCAATAACTCGGACTGGGATTTCTAATAAAAATCCAACTGGGACTGGGATTTTGCCAAAATTTCAGGTGGGAAATGGGATTGGGACCCCCCCTTCAGGACCCTCTCTAAAGGACCCAGCCGAACTCTCCTACAAGCCTTTGGACGTGCTCCACCTTGAAAAGGGGAGGAAAGTCTGGAGGAACGACGAGAACATCGCCAAGAAAGCTTGGATACTTTGCTCTGATGCAGGCTGATCGGAGATGAAAATGCACGTTCTGAGGCTCACTTGAAAACTGGATTTGTCCTGTATTTCGGTCTCGGAACTGTCGTATGTCGCGGTATTCAACAATTAAATCATCAGGTAAAGCTTGAGGAGGATTCTTTATTTCTCCGTTGCATCCGTAACATCGATATACCCGTGTCCCTGCTACCCACTTTGGTTTGAACGACGAACTTGATTGAATCAGATTACGGTTGGAGAAGACATTCTGAATAACAGGTTGATGTGGAGCTGCTTCGGGGAAAAGACTATTAAGCCTGTTGTTTCCTGTTTGTTGCTGTATGGCAGGCAAGATTGAAACCGGAGCTACGTTTAGTGGAAATACCGGTGCTTGTGGATTGACGAAGACAGATCGATTACCTTCTAGGAGGTCCCTAGTCTCAGTAACAGGAGGTTTCTGCGAGTTGCTTTTCTTTCGATTGCTAGGCTTCTTCTCCGCGATTTTTGGAGCACTTCGTAATGCCATGTCCAATACTTTGTCTTTATGCCCTCTTTTAGATCTGCCCTTCTTTTGGATCGGTACCATGCCAAGAACTCGTTTAATGATCCACGGACGTGCGCTACTACGCAGGCCCGATCACACTTCAAACTACCGCCGTTTCAATGTGTAACGATATGTATGTTGTTTGCATATCCAGCGACAATAAACGTCTAAACGATCAATATTTTAATTTTGTGATAGGTAGTAGCCTCTACATTATATATCTAATGGATTTCTAATATTTTCAACGGGGTCTTGAAAGCAGACCATGCCGTGTAACCTCGTATAAGAGGTGCACGTGTATAACGGTGCACTGTATTATGTCTTTATATGTCAATCCATTGTAGAAATATATCGTAATTGAAGCTAGCATTTACTGTATGTAAAGTTGTTACTTAGTAATTGATAGGTGTGATTTGATGATGTGCATTTATCACACTGTTGGATTTGACCATACCGTGATATTGCAAATTAGGAATTGGTAATAAGATTTGCACAGTCCCTTGTGATTCTGTGTGCTTTTGTGTAATTTTCCTTTATCTCATTTGAGTGAATGCTTTTCTTAAATATATCTTCATAGGGTCTAGAAAGTAGACCATGCAGTGAGATATTGTAAACGTCTTGGTCTTTGTTGTTAACGTTAACTGTGTAGTTCGTATATTTGTCCAGCCACATATCATGTTGTGATTGAGGCTATGTGAGGATTGTAAGTTTATTCCCTAGTACTATTTAAGTATAGATGCAGTTAGGTTATGTGCATACTCACATGCAGTTAGGTTATGTGCACTCGTATGTACTCGCGTGTTACTCGTATGTTACTCGTATGTACTCGTATGTACTCGTGTGTTACTCGTATGTACTTGTGTGTTACTCGTATGTTACTCGTATGTACTCGTGTAGTGTTTTAGTCACGATCACTCGTACACACAAGAATCATAAAAATACAAATGTTGAATTGTTGATATTGTCAACTGTCAAGTTCAGTTATTTTTAGACAATATGGTGTTAGCCAATCAGAATGCAAAATTGACCGGCCCAGACCAGGGCACAGAATAAGGACCTGGGCTTTCTCGTCTCTCCCCTCGTCCTTATAAGAAAGCCCTGGGAACGAGGTTGCACGCTGTCTTGATTAAAATCAACACTAAAGAAGACGCCCGCATTCGCAAGCCCAGCGTTTATATATGTCTCAATACTTTATATTATTGGGAACGATTCGTTCCTTAACAAGGGCCCTAACCCTAACACCTTCGGGCAATTTCGGGCAGCTTTTACGTATCACCGCTGAGCGAAAGTACAGCAGACGCGGTCTGTAGTGATGGGCGATACCAGGATTTTTAATTCGATACCGATACTTTTAAGATCGGTATCGGCCGATACCGATACCTATTTCGATACCAAAATGAACACAAAATTTCAATTTTCGATACCGGAAGTGAGTACTTAAATTGCTAGTATCGGCTACTTTCGATACCTGCCGGTCAGCGGAAAAACATTTTATATTACGGTATGTAACCTAAATAAAGCTATAAGTAAATCAAAAACCCAGAAACGTAATAAATGTTTTCTATACATGACTTGGCGCACCACATTTGGGTCATTAAGTCTTATTCAACGAAGAAGTGAAATTAAACAAGTCGTTTAAAAAAAGGATGCAAGTATCGAACGATACTACGCCAGTAATCGATACCGATACCACTGTTTGTGGTATCGCTGGTATCGAATACTGAGTACTCGGTATCGCCCATCACTAGCGTTCTGCATTCTGCAAATTACCCCCGCCCTACCCGTCGTCGTTATACATGCAGGCCGATGTTTCTTTGCCAAACTTTTTCCCTAGATGGTTTAGTATGAACACAAAGAGATCATTATGAACAGAAAGAGATCATGAACACAAAGAGATCATTATGTTAGGGGACTTAAACACAAATTTTCAAGATAAACGTTCTTATCAACAACTTCATGTTCTAGCACCTCAGTATCAGCTTAAACAACTTATTTATGCAGTTACCAGGCCAATATCAGGTAAAACAATTGACCTTATCTTTACCTCTAAGGAAGATAATGTTATTAAATCAGGCGTGCTAAATATTGGGATGAGTGATCATTTGCCAATTTTTATCTCTAGAAAAATTAATTCCAGAATCTCAATTAAACAAGGTTTACATACAACGATTAGTTATCGCAGGAAGAAATATTTTATTGCGAGTGATTTTGGTAATGACCTTGTTGAAGAAATCCCGTTAAGCTTTTATGAAATCTTTGATGATCCAAACGATCTATTAGACTGTTGGTACTCTAGCTTTATGAAAATTTTGGATAGGCATGCACCTTTAATAAAACGTAGAGTCAGAAATAACAAACTGCCGGGGTGGTTTAATTCTGAAGTACGGTGCTTTAGCCGCAAAAGAGACTTTTTTTTTAAAGCAATTTTTCAAAAAATTTCTAAAAACCAAAAACTCTGACACATGGTGTACCTACAAAAAATGGAGAAATAGAACTGTTCATATTATTAAAAAGTCAAAAGAGGACTACTATAAGAACCTCCTGACTGATAATGTACATAATCCACGACAATTATGGAAAATTCTAAAAGATATCTTGCCGACCAATGACACTGCCTCCCCAATAACACTAAACATTAATGGCAAGGAGATCAGTGATCCTATCGAGGTTGGCGATCTCTTTAATGAATACTTCTCCTCTACTGCAGACAACTTTGATATCAGTTTACTAAACAACCCAATTAATACTCATTTACCAATTCCAACAAATCATATTAAGTTTACAATTCCACTGATAACAATCCATGACATACTAAATCTTGCAGCCGAATTAGATCAGAACAAGTCAACCGGTCTTGATGGTATTCCTGCCTACTTCATCAAGTCCTCAATTCATTCCATTGCACCCATAATACTTCGCATTTGTAATATGAGCATTGAAAATGGCGTCTTTCCCAACATGTGGAAGAAAGCTAGACTGATTCCAATCTATAAAGCTGAAACACGTACTGAGAGAAACAATTACAGGCCCATTTCTATATTAACGATTCTATCTAAACTCCTCGAACGACATGTTGCCAACTCATATGTAAAATTCCTCACAGAAAATAATATTCTATCGAGTTGCCAGCATGGTTTTCGAACCCATCACTCTTGTGAATCTACTCTAATATTGATCTGTGAATACCTTCTCGATAACATTGAGCAAGGTTTAATTAATGGTATAGCTCTAATTGATCTCTCCAAAGCGTTCGACCTGGTCGATCACAGATTGCTACTGCAGAAATTAGAACAATATGGCATTACTCCAATAGCTTTAAAATGGTTTAAATCGTATCTAAATGATCGTTACCAAGTAGTACAAATTGCATCATCCCTATCCAACCCAGCTCTGATAAAGTCTGGTGTGCCTCAAGGATCTATACTAGGACCAATTCTCTTTCTTATCTTTATTAACGATTTATCCAGTTATGTTGGAAGTTCTAAGCCTTTTTTATTTGCCGATGACTCTACACTAATATCCTCCGGATCGGATCTTCACGAACTTAGTGTCTCTCTAAAGTCGGATATGACCTCAGTGTCCCGTTGGACTAACCATAAAAAAATGTCTCTTAATCCTGGCAAGACAAAAATAATGAAAATATATTCCCAATCTAAATTCCCTGATCTTAGTCCAATAACCATTGAAGTCAATAACAATAATGTTAAGGAGATTACATCCGCCATATTACTTGGAGTTACATTAGACCAACATTTGAAATGGGATAAGCAAATTAATACCATCTACAATATAATCAATTCTAGATTTTACCTACTCAAACGTATACGTAGCTATCTCACTTTTCAATCCCGTATTCAATTATATTACGCACTAATCTACCCACACTTGCTATATTGTAGCACAGTCTGGGGCAATGCTAATAACGAACTAATTACGTGCCTACTAAAACTACAGAAACGTGCTGCGAGACTAATTCTTGAGCAGTCAACTGAAGTGCCTTCAATTGTGCTTTCCGTAAACTCAAATGGATACCTATTTTTAATCTGATAAAAATGAGAAAAATATTATTGGTATCCAATACTTTAAAAACATCTTGGCCGCCGGATCTTCGTAAATTGTTTGTCTTTGTTCGCGACTCTCATCCAATTCCAACTAGATCGTCTATTACATACTTAAAGTTCCATCCTCATCAGTTAAGACTACGCAAGCTAAATCCAAAATTTCCTACAGTGGTGCAAGCCTATTCAATTATTTACCTTCCGAATTAAAAGATATTGAAAATCACTCAATTTATTCCTATAAAACGAAGCTCAAAACCTACTTTATTCAATTGAATTATGAAGTAGATCACGTTAATAAATTCCGCTGCATCGATTGTAGGCATATTACTCATTGTCAATGTTACTCTCAATAGGATTTTCTTTTTATATATTACTATCAGACATCGAGGGCCATTGGGAAGAATACTGTACTAAGTAAACAATGTATTCCCTCTTTAAATAAAGTTTTTATTATTATTATTATTATTATTATTATTATTATTATTATTATTATTATTATTATTATTATTATTATTATTATTATTATTATTATAGTGCCTAGTGCCGTCGTAGCTAGTTTGCATTTAGTGTCTTTAGTGGCCTTAAACAAGATGAAGGTAATATGGAATTATCTTCATGATATGGTGAGTTTTCATCCATTTTCGGACCCTCTCAATCTGACCATGTGGCTTGTCTGGCATAGATCATAGAATAAAGATCCATATAGAAGGGCCACTTACGTCGGAAGCTTTGAAGTTTCTGTCCTCGCGCATGTCGCATTACGCATGTTGGCCGCCATTTTCCTAGCCAGTCAATGACATTTTCTGGCCAAGAAAGACGTTGTACTGGCTGGCTGCTCCGCCTTCTGGCCAGTAAACTGCATATAACTGCATAAAAAAATGCGGACACATTGCACCGCTGAGTTCCGCTGAGCGGCCCTTCTGTTACTGATCTTTATTATGTGCTTAGATGAAGTGTTGCCAAACTCACCTAACTTATCGTGGGCTCAAAATTTCCAAACAAACAAAGTGACAAACGTGAAACCAACCTCGTACCCAGTGCTTCTGCGCTTATTGCTCTCAGAAGCCCTGCAGGCTGCTCCATTTACTGTTCGGAGTACTCTGGATTTTGGGAACACTAATGAAATCGAACCAATAATCCTTTAAAGTATAAATATTTATATTCGAGTACAACCTTGGTCATTTCAAAATTAACAGACTAGAAATCTTACTGGTAACATGGCTGGCTACCGATTATCTTGGATTTGAGGGTTTTGAACAAGATATTGCAAGATTTACTGTATAAATGCACAAGATATACTGTACTGTAAACATGCATCTACTTGAAGAATGTAAAATGAACAGTGATGACTGATGAGTGGTGTAATATAATTCTGTACTTTAATATTTGGAAAACCTTTTTGGCAAATCTTGAGAATAATGGCTTTGGGAATCAATGTTGAAAATTAAAAACTGTCAGATAGCTGCATGGACAGCATGGTTAGAAGCATACATGTCATCGGATGAAACTCCAACTTTTGTTAATTGCTGATGTTCTAGTATTGGAATGAACAGTGTTATAAGAACCAATGGTGCTGAAGTAATTTGGGTTTATTATAAAATATTGTTTATCATTTAGTTCTGGCCATTAACCTTACCTATTAAGTTATACATTGTGTCTTACTTTTTATTTTACTCTGGTGTGCACCCCCCCCCCCCAGGCTCTGGTCAACAGGGGTGCATGGGGGTGTGTGCAAAAATGATGTTTATCCTAATTCTAACCAACTTATGTTAAGGAATTCAGTTGCGTATCACTAGTTGACAATAGTGGAATAGCCAATATTAAAAATTCTGAATTTTTAAATGTTTTGAGAATCTAAAAATTTTCCAGAATGTTTTCTCAGAATGCTGGAAATGCCATTTCAGAGACCCAAATTTTAAAAATTTTCCGTGGTAGTATGCCCCCGGACCACCCTAGAAATCTCGCGCCTTTGGCGCTCGTTTCGCCATTGGTTAGCACCC